GGCATTTCACATCACTTTGCCCCTATTTGGAAAAGTTCACTTTAAGTTACCAACAATAAGGGAGTAAAGCTGTATCAGAAGTGGGTGGCTGTGTGGCAGAGGATATTGTTTTCAGCTCCTGGTATACACCTCTCCACGTAGGAACTTTTAAAATATTATTTTGTAATGATATTCTTGCTTTCCCTCAGAAACTAATAAACAAAGTAACTGTCTTTGCATTACTGGACAAGCATGTGATTAGACCAACACCAGAAATGAAACAGTGGAGTTGTGTGTTTGCAGTCTAATCTGTATAAGCCAAATAGATCAAACTGGTGTTGGTGGAGGAAGCACTCAGAGCTGTCGTGCTAGTATAAACATCTGCTTCTCCTTTGCACACGTGGTGTTGCTCTTTTGCTAACTGAGAGTCATTCTCTTCCCAGGAGCCTTTCTTCTGCTGTACATCCTGCTGATGCTGATTGTGGGCATCCCCTTGTTCTTCCTGGAGTTGGCAGCCGGTCAAGCCATCCGACAGGGCAGCATCGGAGTATGGAAATATATCTCACCCAGGCTCTCTGGCATTGGTTACTCCAGCTGTGTGGTAAGATAACAACTGTTGAATAATTAACCCTCCTCGCTTCCTCTTCCTAACACTATCAGTTTGGGGCTGTGCGATATACAGATGTCTTTTTGTGCAGGAAGTTTTTATGAAGGAAAAAGTACTGTTTATGTATTAAAAGTTGTTTGGATAGCGTGGTATACCAAATTTGTTATTTGTTATCAAATAATTGTATTAGTCTGTCAGGGCCACATTCTCTTCTCCATCTTGAATGTCAGGACAGTTGTAGTTTATGAGAACAGGACTTTCTCTTTCATTCTGTACGGCCTACAGCAATGTGCATACTTTCTTCTTCTCTGGTTTTAACGTATTATCTTGTTTTCAACTGTTCTCAGGTTTGTTTCTTTGTGGCTCTCTACTACAATGTGATCCTTGCATGGAGTCTTTTCTATCTCGGGAACTCATTCCAGCACCCATTACCTTGGGAGAAGTGCCCAGAACAGGGGAATGTAACAGGTAAACGCGGCGCATTAAGGTTCAAAACTCACAAAGTTGTGAGCATGAGTGGTGTCTAATGTAAGCGTTGTAATTTGATGTGTACTTTTCGTTTTCACCAGTCTCACCAGTAAAGGAATGTATCAAGAGTTCTCCCACGTCGTATTTCTGGTACCGCAAAGCTCTGGATATCACAGATTCAATCGATGAGACGGGCTCTTTCAACACTTACATCGTCTGCTGTCTGCTGGCAGCCTGGACCATCGTGTGTCTGGGGATGTTCAAGGGTATCAAGACGTCTGTAAAGGTACCTGTCCGTTCTTATTGTGTCCATTTGTTATAGCGAAGCACCTTTATTATATCTTTATTATATATATAAGTCTCTTCTTCAAACGTCTCAGTGTTAAATGATTGATGAGTGTGTTTATCCACAATGTAATATACACAGGGGTGTTGTGTGAATCACATTTAAAGGAAAAACTGGTGACTCCATTAGAAATAATGCTGGAACAGGTTTATTTGGTAGCTTTAAAGAAAATAACTGTTTTGGAAATGAAATATTTATTCTCGTGTTTACTCAGGAATAAGCTGATTAGAAAATAACTAATATAACAAAAATAACAAAAGACAAGTCCTTCATTTGTCTTGCTGAGTAACAGTGACATGCAGCGCTGCGTGCTGTTTACGTCTCTCAGTTGGGTTAAATCCCTGTCATGTGTTGGATTTCAGGGTTACTCTGAGTGCCTGAATCTGTGGAATGCGTGGCTTACGTGTCGGCTGACCTCAAATGGCAAAAACTATATCACATATTTTAATATTTTTGTAAATTTTAATTCATGGTTCATACCGTGGTGTTTGTTTCCCTTAATGCATTAAACAGTCTTTTCTCTTTGGTGCTGTACACCACAATGGGGGACAAACATTAAAAAAAAAGGATTATGTGGTTCAAGTCCAAGAATTTTGTCTTGCCTACAGTAAACACATGATGGGGATGATATATTTTGCTGTATACTGTGTTTTGATGCTAACGTCACTCGCTCACTCACTGAGCTCATATCAGATGATTCCTGCTGTTTCTATCACAAGAGCCATATGTTTTTGGTGTGATAAGCACAGGCAGGCAGCGAGGGAGGCCCAGTTAAAACTTGTGGTCTTAATAGGACAAATTTGTTGGCACATTCTCACACCATTATCCTCTTTCTTTACTGCATTGGTATTTAAAATTCTGTTTTGCTTTTTTGTAGAGATGGCACAATACCACTTTTTTATGTCCGATACCGATATCATAAATTTGGATATCTGCCGATACCGATATGAATCCGATATAGTGTTTTTTAATCAACAAAACTGTTTTTTAAATATCTTGCTGCATTTTGTATAAGTTCATACTCAAGTTTAAAACAACAACTACACTAAAGCTATTCTGTTATACCTGTATGCAAAAAAAATATTTCATAGTTCAGCAATACTGATCAATCTAATAAACTTAAACCTACACCATCCTCCCTATTCTGGTATTTTAAAGAGTACTTAGCGTAAATATTAAGCAACCTAACTAATAGGGTTCCAACTCCCAGCAACAACAAAAATAAATAAATAAAAAATAGGGAACCACCCCTCACGCTCCACCTCATGATGCTTAATCGACGTAATCAACCTTAATTTGATGCAGTGTGAAAAAAAATGCACAGAAATCAATTATTTTTCAAGAAATATTAAATAGATTCAACATCTTTCTTCAACAAAATTGCAGACTGCACAGATGGTACCTTCCCAAAGGAAAAAGTACTATAGCTTACTAGGGATATATATTAGACTTAATAGTTACTATATACAGTAATGGACTTCTATTCATTTTACATCAAATTAAAACTTTGGGTGTCAGATAATTATTTATTAAAAGCTAGACATTTTAAATGAGAATAAGAAAGAAAAGTATGTCTTTGTGCCCCCTTTTCCCTGTTAATGCCCTATCGGCCCCCCTGGCTAAACTTTGCTAGATCCGCCCCTGCACAGTTACCAGCGTCAGCTACGTAGAAAAAGATCCTCGAGTAGAAAGTAATATTAAATAAATTCTAACAACAGCTTATCAAGCTTAAACGTGCTGCTGTTGTTTATCCACTGGTTTCCTCTTTCTGGTGCAAAGTGGGCCAAAAACAAACAAGAGAGAAAAGCCGATCAGCTGATCATTAAGCAGTTTCATGATTGAAGTAGCAGCAAGAAGAGGCAGTCGCTTGTTAAGCTTAACGCAGGAATGCTTTACAAACATTCAGAGATGGACTTACACACTTGCTTTACTTCTCTCGGGATAACTTTGTCGGAGATGAAATGCCAGGTTGCTAGCGAAGCTCCACATGCTATCCAGACCACCGACAGGTCCCGCATGCCACAGCCGCTCTATCACGTGATGCATACTGCTCCGACGTGCTAACGTTCTGAGGCGAGTTCAAGTTTTGTGAGGTGCTTTCGTGATATTTAATGGATCGGATTACATTTTTTATTTTTCGCCGATATCCGATCCAGTAATTTAGGTCAGTATCGGACCGATACCGATCCGTAATATCGGATCGGTCCATCTCTACTTTTTTGTTCATTTTAAAATATTGTATTTATTTATTTTAATCATTCAACGGCTATAACAAAAGAAATTGCTATATAAATGGGATAAATAAAGCTCAAGCTCCACACTGCTCTAAACGCTCAGTCTCAGACAGTTTTTTTCCTTCTCCTGGCATGTATGACATCAAATAAAGCCAGCAGTTAAAACCTTCTGTTTGTCAGGGGCAGCCAATCAGGAGACAGGTCACTTAAAGGGGCAGTAGCTAAAATGGCTTGTTTCAGTCACAGGATGAACTAAGGGGCTGAGCCCCAGTGCATGATGAATAGGGGTTATTTTGAACTGTAAGCATAATAAGTCTGTTTTAATTTCATATGCAGTTGTAATGATGCAGTAAACAAAGTTTACACGTCTGTAAATAGCTTTTAATATTTAAAACCATGCTGACCTCTATATTTAACATTATGTGTTTATTATGATGTGTTTTGCACACAGGTAATTATTCTTTCTGCTTCCCTAGGTGATGTATTTCTCTTCCATCTTCCCATACGTGGTGCTGTTCTGCTTTCTCATCCGAGGGCTCCTGCTGGATGGAGCATTTGAAGGAATCGGCTTCATGTTCTACCCCAAGGTATCGGCAGATAAAACGTCTGGTTCAGTGTAGAGAAGAGAAAGAGATATAAATAGTTCTTTGACACAGCTTTTGTTTCTGCAATGCAGTTGGAAATCTGGGCAAATGTGCAGGTGTGGCGGCAGGCAGCTACGCAGGTTTTCTTTGCGCTGGGCCTTGGCTTTGGGTCCATTATCGCCTACTCTTCCTACAACCCCAGGAACAACAACTGCCACCGTGATGCCTTCACCGTCTCCTTCATAAACTTCCTCACATCTGTGCTGGCTACTCTGGTGGTCTTTGCTGTCCTTGGTTTCCGAGCTAAAAACAAGGTCATGGAGTGTGTAGCCAGGTATGTTTAATTATAAGACTAAAATGTGTGTTTTGCATGTACCGTGTCATGAACACTGTTGATGTAGCTGAGGGAAATTGTGTTTGGATTTTCAAAATCAGAAATGTAATATTTTTCTGTATCCTGTTGTCTTTTTTATAGCAACTTGAATGACCTGTCAAAACACTTTCACGACGGTTTTGTGCCCAATAACGTGATGCCACCGTTTAACTACTCTGATCCCAAATCTGTGGCTTTGAAGGACTACAGTAACTGGTTCGAACAGTATGCATCTATGGTGCCTGGCAATTTAACAGACTGTGACCTGGAAAAAGAAATGCAGAAGGTAAACATTACGCTTCTTAGACTAGTTTCAGTTTGCTTACGTAGATGATGTTATAATTGGCTTGCAAATCATGATGACTAAAGCTGTGTTTATGTTCAGGGTGTGGAGGGAACAGGTCTAGCTTTCATCGCCTTCACAGAGGCCATGACCCTCCTACCTGGCAGCCCTTTCTGGTCCGCCCTCTTCTTTCTCATGCTACTCAATCTTGGACTCAGCACTATGTTTGGCACTATGGAGGGCATCCTCGCCCCCCTGAGTGAACGCTTCAAATGTCTGGCGAGGAACAAAACCAAGCTTACAAGTAAGAACCAGTTTTACCTCTTCTATTGTTTGAAAATTCATGCACGACTCAAGGCAATCGAAAAGATTGGTCGTTGACAGCTGTTAAACTGCACATCTGTCAATACTATAAAGCTCCGTAGCCACTGTACGCAATTGAGACTGAAGAGACTATCCAATGAGAAGGAAGAATGACTGTCATATAACTTGGTATTAAATACATTAGATGGTTACCCAGGCAACCAGAGCCTGAAATGCCAGCAAGTGACCAGCCTTCACTTCAAAGTGACAAGTGAGGCGTTTCCAGTGTGTGCATAGCTTCAGACTTTGAATCTGAAACTGATGTCTTTTAATAACATTTTGACGTCATCCACTGAGTTCTGTTATAAAGGCTCTATGCTGACATTAAAGAAGATGTTTTTTTCTTTATAACAACATGTGTGTCTTGTTGCAGTTGCCAGCTGCATCATTGGCTTCCTGCTTGGCCTGCTCTTCACTCAGCGCTGTGGGAACTACTTTATGATGATGTTCGATGATTACTCTGCAACGCTGCCACTCATCATCGTGGTGGTTTTTGAGACTTTCAGTGTGTCTTGGTTGTATGGAGCTGATAGGTGAGGTTTCTGATTGTGGTTAAGTGAGGTGTGTTTTTAACCATAAATCTCACTAAAGTCTTGTGTATTTTTTTCCCCTTCTCACTAAAGATTCCTTAATGACATTGAAGGAATGCTGGGCTGGCGTCCCAGTGTTGTTTACAAATACCTGTGGAAATACATTTGCCTGTTTGCTATGCTTGGGCTGCTCGGAGCCACCACTATCCGCATGTTCCTGTCTCGCCCCACGTATATGTCATGGAACCAGGAAAAGGTATCAAGTTATTTATTAACTTTATAAAAGTCTTGAACTACACTTCATTTCCTTATGAGAAAGAAGTGCAAGAAGTTATTGAAGCATCTGCAAACATACATGCAAACGCAGTATATAAGGCAAAGACAATGTTTACAATTCTAACAGGCTTGAAAGCAGATATTTAATATGTCCACTTTCATCACAGCTAAGTTAGGAAAGCTTTTTGTGCAATGTCTTTAAGTAGTCTTCAGGAATAGTTCTTCAGACTTCTTGAAGACTACTCCAAGCTCTTCTTTTGATGTTGCCTTCCTTTTGTTCTGTTCTCTGTCAAGATGATCCCACACTCTGCTATAAGAATGTGGAGGTCTGTTCTTTGGGGAATCCATGACTGACAGTGCTGCACTGTGTGTTTTTGTTTGGAATCCCTGTCATGCTGAAAATTTAAACCCTTCATAAGACTTGTTGAAATTGATTTTTTTAGCATTAGACAAGAACTGGACTTGGCTCAGCCTTTTCTCCCCGTTTCTCCTCCTTAAGACACATTTTCACTGAGACAATTTCTGATGAAACTTTGGAAAACACTAAATGGATTAGCTGAAAGGCCAGGCTCAGTTCCTGAATCAGATATTTCCCGCCCCCCATTTGTTCAGGACATTACTTTCAGATATTGCTCATCTGCTGTTGATAGTTTTTTTAGGCCTGTCGTTTCTTCTTTTGTCCGCCACTTGTCCGATTTCTTCATTTTTTAAAGAGCACACCGAGCTGAGAGTTATTAGCTCGTTGGGAATCATATTGTTGTCTTTTTTTAAGCCTGTCGAACTGTTATGTTTGGCATTTTTCAAAGGATTAGATAAAGAAATGCAAAAAATGGTGTGTTTGCCACTGGTTGCTAGTAACAAAGTGCCTAGAATTTAAATTTGTTCTTTGCTAAATTGTCTCTTATGTGTCGACACAACACAGTGGAGTGACTTTTTTATGCTTGAACAGTTCATGGTCAGTGTTAAACGGCCAAAAAAGGACTTTTAGAAAGCCTGGAGAACTATTGCTCAAGACCACTTTAAAAAAGTACAAGAACGTGTGGCTCGTTGGAAGCAAAACATAAAGAAATGAGGGGTGGCTCCAGTCTACTGCAGATTAGTTTAGAAAGATATGCACTTTGTGATTGCAGGAAAGAAAACATCAGTTTGAGAAGAGATTTTTGGAGTTTATTTTTAATATCCTGAAGCTCAGTTTATTACTATCTTTCACAATACACTAAAGCTCTTAACTGTTTAACTTCCTGAATGATTCATTTGATTTTATTTTTCAGGCTTCTGAGGAGAATTTGGAATATCCTGACTGGGCTCTGGCTGTTTTGGCTTTATTAATAATATTTGCCACACTGCCCATGCCAGTGGGCTTCATCCATGCGTTTCTACAGAAGAGAAACACACAAAGTAGGGATGCAGAGAATGGTCACTACAGGATGGTTAACACTGAGGAAACTGCTATGACCGACCTTTCAGCACTGGAACATAGGAATGGGGACGCTGCTCCGGTTTCCTAAACCCTCAACAAATGGGCTGTATTTAAGGAGAAGGAACTTATCAGTGATATATAAGCTGATGCATTATAAAGGGACAGTCATTTTGTTACTGAGCCTTACAGTTACCTCACTTGTTCAAAATCAGAAACACATCTACATAATGCCAGCTGTTAAACTGCATATCCGTCATGGCCTCTGTGAAGGCGGTGAACTACATTGAAAGAGGAAGTTAAGCAAGAAAGATGAGCTGCACAGCTTCTCTGCTGTTGCTCACAGAATGATGGAAGAAGCTTGATTGTAATCCAAGGTCTTCACTAACAGGACATGAGTTCCCAGGAGTCTGACCTGTAGTATTAAACTACGTTTTCTGTTACTGCCACTAATTACAGATGCTGCCAAATTAGTCAGAAATATTCCAAACGGCCATTTTAATATTTTCCTTTCTTTTTAAACTTTTAAAGTCAAACTAGATCTAGATGCTAAAGATGCTCCAGCAGCTTTTAAAAAGTTTGTAGTATGGAACAGATAATTTATTGATTTGTGAAAACTATTGGGTAAAATTTCCATTAAGTTATTTTTTACCAAAGTTAGTGTCCAAAGAAGCAAAAATATGCTTTTAATATAAGCCGTAAATATTCTATGATCCCAAAGCCAGTGTTGGAAACCAGGGTTTGGACCATCAGAGCCTCTGCTCCTGACCACTGCCCAGTCCACAATGTACGGAACCCCACAGTACCTCCTGCTGGCCCCCTCACTGAGGACAATTTTGCTGTGGGGGAACGTACGAGGGGCTATATTCCTAATGGGTGTTCAACTCTACCGTGGCTAACAAAGGGAGTGAGACAAAGGAGGCCCTGGGTCAGATCTATGAGACAGAGGAAGTGTCTGGGGAGACGGACAGAGGTCTGACCATCTCTGCTATGCAGCAGCCCCTGAAACGCAGATCCAGAAACGGCAGAGGATGATAAAGATCATGTTATAGTTGTTTTGTTAACGTTGTTACATAGTTAACATTCATTTACATCGTCCTTTCACTCTCGTAGTTTCTCTTCTTTCTGTTGGTCATTCATTATGATAACCTGAGAATTGTGATTGATCATGAGCTGGCTGAGCTACCGCGTCATTAACCTGTCACTGCTGTCTCTGTTGAAGTCAGACTTGTAGCGACTGCTAAGTATTTTCACTGTATGTTTATATTTTTCCTGAGCAACTTGGATTAATACCTACAGTACAACACTGTGCAGGTTTACTATCACGTTTACTCCAGAAATGAGTCGCTTTAGCTACGTATGCTGCTGTTCAGCACAGCATGTTTACAGTCAAAAAAACAACCGAGACCAGACTCTGTGTTTGAACTCGATAAGACATTTTACACTACGTAAGCAGGTGTAGCTGCCCCGGTTATAATAAACATGCAGGCTAGCATTATTTGTTCAAGGAAACAGCTGATAGGTTTTTATGTCCTCTGTTTTTTAAACTCTTCGGTAACAAAGTCAGTGTAAAACAAAATCTGCACATCTGTGTATTTAGAGTACAAAGACTGACTGAAGCTGTTGTCAAGTGACATCATGCTAATGCAACAAAAAGATAAAAAGATATTTATATGATGTGTATGTATGTAAATGGTACATGTAAAATAGTTTTTATTGCTAAACATTTGAGTAGTTTTTTTGTAGTTGTAAATGGAAAATTGCCTAAAGGACCTTTTGTGTATGTTTTTTGTAAAGATTAATATATTTTTTAGACTTCATTGCTCTGTGATATCGTCTCACAGCTGCAGTGTGTTTTCTGGTGTAGTTTTTCCGTTTTATCAGGATATAGTTGAATAAATTGACTTGATGGATCATTATGCTGTTTAATCCCGGGGGCCTTTAGCTCTAATAGGGCAGAATGAACAAACCGTTAAAAGCATCCCAACATTCTTGTAACTTTAAAAACATTTCTTTTGACATTGCAGTAGTGTTCAAAATGTATGTAAGATACTATTGTTGTATTATTTGTTGCTGTTCTTTTCTTAATAAACTTTAGCATCTCATTCGTGTTTTAAAGTTCATAAAGTTTTGATAGATAATGGAAAAAGTGTAGATTTCTGCTGTCCTGTTCTGCACTAAAACATGCTCTTTCCACTACCTGCTGGGTGTTGTTGCCCATCAGCACAATTATTTTTCTGGGAAAGTTGAAGCATATCGAGACCCGCCGAGAGGTAAATGTCTGTGCAGCTACAACAAAAATGATACAACGACAATATGAACATTTGTTTTTCTTACAGCCTTTCTTTCTGTTACAGCTGGAAAGAGTAGAAGCTGTTTCTGACTCTGTCCAGCTGTAACAGAAAGAAAGAACATAATACTTTTCATTTTCTATAAATCCCCAGCAGCTCATTTACAGGAGTGCAGGTGAAATGAAACATGAGGGGGTGGGTCTATTGTAGCTTTTGTTTTCAAATCCGTGTTTTAATTGTCAGATAAAGAGAACAGTCAGTGCTTTTCTTTGTTTTGTTTCTCTTTCTTATCTCTCAGTCCTTAAATAGTCTGAGAGTTCTTGCAGGGCTGCAGGCACGTTAAGGTTCAAACTGCTTAGATCAGGGGTGGAGAATTCCAGGCCTCAAGGGCCTGGGTCCTTACCCCGGGTCAACACACCTGAATCGAATGATTAGTTCATTACCAGGCCTCTGGAGAACTTCAAGACTTGTTGAAGAGGTAATTCAGCTGCGTTGGATCAAGGACACATCTAAAACCTGCTCGACACCGACCCATGAGGCCTGGAGTCCCCCACCCCTGGCTTAGATGATTAACTGTCAGAATATTAAGCTGAAAGGGCTGTACGTCTCTGCTCACTCCTAATATTCAGAGTGTAACTACACATTTAATACATTTAAATCCTGGAAAAAAAGTGCAATTTTCCCACATGATAAATACATGCTGCTGTATTAAGTGAAAAAAGTCTGTCAGCATGCATCTTTGAACATTCATTGTAAGAAATAAATATAAAATGACAGGAAAATTTCTGTCAATTCATTGCCAAATTTGTCAGAAATTTTTATTATAGATAGTGAAAAAATGGGAACTTTCTATCATTTTATTGTTCATCTACATCTTATTCGTCTTGGTGTCGTATGAATGACAAGGGGGGAGATCTTAATCGGTAGGCAACACACAAAAATTGACCTTTTTAAAATCAGTCCAGTGGGTCTGAGTGTTTGACACCTCTGCCATAAGTGCATTTACTAAAGGTAAGGTAAGGTAAAGGTTAAAGGTCAAGTTTTCTGGAAAATCTTGGGAACACAAGTTAATGAGTTTAAACAGATCTTTGACAAAAACAGGCAATGAAGTTCAGACACTGTGTGGTGATGTGTGCTGTCCTAACAATACATGTAAGAACAGACTGTGATTAAGATTAAGAGCATTCATACTTTAAGACTTAGTGAATTATGTTTGCCTGTGGTGACACAGGTAATTCAGAGGCGACCTGGCAGGCATGTGCTCTACAACTTCATGAAGACTTGCGCCCCCTGTCAGGAGGCTGAGGTGTAGCACCTGAGGCTACCAGTAGTTTTATTTCATTTCAACTTTTTCTATTGTAGCTCAGTTCAGATTCTGTTTCCAGAGTACATTTTCTTGTTAATATAAATATTATTATTTTAAGTTCACAAAATAATTTCATTTAGCTATATTTTTTTCCAAAAGCCTAGTTTTCATTTTTATTTTAGTTGACTAAAGTGTTTAGTTTTTAGTTTAGCTTTAGTTTTTTATAATAACTTTGTTAATCATTGCAGTATATCACACAGTCAGTTAAACTTCGGAGATATCAGTCTGTGCAGTTAGGAAGCATCAACCATAGTGACTCCATTTCACCTGATGCACTTGAGCGACTGCAACAAAGCAACCTTTAAAATGTTTTAGCAGGTGCTGGACACAGACGATCTTCCTGACTGACTTCTGCTGAGGACTCAAATCAGCAACAGGAGCAGCAGACAGTATCTGGTCTTGCAGGAGGAGCAGTGCCAGTGTGCATACCTCTCTAGACAATGATTGACCCATTGCCAAACCGGTCATGCTGGATGATGTTTCAGGGAGTGCTCTGCCGTATTATTAATCATGAATTTGCTCTCATCTGTGAAGAGAACAGCATTCCTTGGCTGGACTGAAAGCTCTGGTGTTCTCTGGTGAAAGCCAGTGAAGCTACATGGTGGTGCTGGGCTGTGATCGCATGTCCCACTAACGGACGTTAAGACCTCGTGACACAGTCATAGAGTCTGTTTCCCACAATATGGTCTGAAACTTGAGTAGCCTGCTGGAGGTCATTTTGTGGCGTTCTAGCAGTGCTCCTCCTTTTCTTCATCACACAAACGAGTACATATCGGTTCTGCTGCCCGGTTGATGCCCTTCTGCTGCTCTGTCCAGCTACTCTAGTGTACTGGCCCATCTCCTTATTTCCTCCACACTCTTGAGAGTGTGCTCAGAGACACAGCAAACCTTCTTGTGCCATGATAGAGGAGCTGCACTACCTGTGCTACCTGAGTGTGCTGCAAAAACCATTTCATCCAACCAGCAGCAAAAACAGAGACACAGCTCTGAGCTGTGACCAAACCAGGCTCACACAGCTGCTGCTTGGATCGCGAGGGGCAACCAATCAGGAGAAAGTTGGACTGAAGGGAATAAAAATTAGCAAATAAACTAAGGTGTAAAAGGTGTATGAGAAAAATAAACATTATAATTAACTGTAAATCATGCAAAGCAACTCATGTATGAGTTAGAAAGACAATGTGGAGCTGGAAGCAGGCGTAATAACTCCACCTTTATGATTGTACATGCTTTCTACTTTCTACATTATTTAGCATCTGTCTGAATCACTACAGATGATGAAAGAATACATGAATTTCACAGACACCTTTTTAATGTTCATATTTGTCCAGACTCTTCCAGACTTTGTGCATAGCAGTAGTTTCAACGCTGTTCTGTATGATTTATGCAGTTACTTTAAAAAATATCTATTAGAGAATAATACTAGCAAATAGGTTGATATTTTGAACTTTCACAAGTCATAGTAATGGAAAAAAGATATCTGTGTCTACCTGAACCTAGCACTTGCCACATGTATATGCTTGGGCGTGCTCACGTATGTCCCCTTGGAAATATTCAGTGTCTGGGGACTTCAGTTGTCTTGGATGCAGTCTCAGCTCAGTTGTTAAGAGAGGCAGGGAGGAAGGGACCAACGCCCAACTCTGAGAAAAACGGCAGCCTTGGTTTGACCTCAGGTAAGCACAGATAATTTATCTTAAATATTATTATTTTGTCACAGTAAGTGAATATTTGATAGACAGTTAAATGGTTCCAGATATGTGTTTTTAAAGCAGGAATGGGTCTGGTTTACAACATGAAAATTATTACTGTAGAAGAAAGCATCTGCAGTTCTCTTTTGATCATTTGAGTTTGTCACCATAACTGTTGTACAATGCACAGTATTGCACAAAAGTCTTGAATTATCCCTAATTTCTTTATATTTTGCTAGGAAAATTGGAAATAGTTGCAGTAATCTACTGAAACACTTGCAAACGAGTATACAGAGCACAGTTTGTACAATTCAAATGTGCGTGAAAGCCAATATTTGTCTCGGATACCTTTATTCTTCAACACAGGCTGAAGTTTTCCTGTAATTTCTTTAAGTAGTCTTCAAGAATAGTTCTCCAGGGTTCTTGAAGAACATTCAAAGCTCTCCTTTGAATTTTGGCTACCTTTTGTTCCATTTCTGTCAAAAGGATCCCACACTACTTCAGTAATGTTGAGGTTCGAGCTCTGGGGAGGCCAATCCATGACTGATAGTGTTTCAATGTGTGTTTTTCTATCCAGTTATGCTTTGGCAGTATTTCTGGGATCACTGCCATGCTAAAAAATGAATGCTCCATAAAACCTGTTTCCTGATTTTCAGACCAGTTCTTGTGTGGTTTGGCGTCCCTCAGAATTTATCTTGACTGCTAATCATCTGCTATGGGCATTCTTTTAGGTTTGGCACTTTGTCTGTTCTTCAATTTATCCTCAAAAGTCTCCTCCAAATTCTTAAGCACATACTGCAGATTATTGCCAGGTTTTTAACCAATAACACTGAGAATCCCCCGTTTGGTGCAAAAATACAATTTTATGCCTGTCAAACTGTTTTAGCCTTGGCATTAAAAAAAAGATCCAACTAAAGAAATGGGAACAAATTAAAAACTACTAGTAATAAAGTGTTAAAAGATTCAGTGTAAGTTGTATGTTATTTGTAGACAAGACACTGGTTCATCCGTTGAGTCATGTGCCTTTTTATGGTTGAATGAGTCATAGGTAACTATTAAAAGGCTTACCAAATGAACAAAAACAGGTCAGGTACACAACTGGACTGAAAGTGAGTGAAAAAACAAAGAAAAACTTTGAAAGACCTTCAGAAAGCCTGAAGAACTATTGCTCAAGAAACCAAAACATAAACAAAAACAAGAGATGATTCAACACTTTTGCACAGTAATGTATATGTTTCACTTTTAACATGAGTAAGATGCAGACTAATGAAGCAAAGGTTTTGTGTTTTATTATTATTTTTATTATAAGCATTGTTTTTATTTGTAGGCGTACTCATAGATGACCAACATGGCGTGCCTGGCGGCTCTGTGTCTCCTGTTTATTTTTCCACTGAGCAGCTCCCAGAGCACGCTGGAGTCTGAGCAGAAAATCAGCGGCCATAAGGCCCCAGGAGCAGCTCCTCCTCCTCCACCTCCACCCCCACACATAAGGGACCTACTCCAAAAGGAGGAAACCAATAATTTAAACGCAATGCGGACATGTAAGTGTGTAAACACTGGTGAAGAGAGCTTCATGTTCACTGCCATCCAGCAGTGAGACAAGATAATTAGTTAAAAATTGTACCATGTAAATCCATGTAAATTCTTCCTTTAAAAAAAAAAAAAAACTTGAACAATTTTTTTTAGATTAAATAAGTACTACTCAAAGTTAGATATATACTTTTCAATAGGAGTGTATGGCCCTAATATCATCATGATATCACCTTTGGTTAGGGTTAATAGGAAAGCATCAATATGAGCCATGTCAGGCTGGGCAGAGCACAGCGTGTGCAGGGTTACACCGTTGTAGGGATCACTACATCTTTTCAAGACAGACAGGAAGAAAGGGGAGCAACAGCAATGACCAGCCGACGCTTATTTGTCAGCTTCAGTCTGCACTTTAATGCATTAACACTGCAGTGTTCTGTGTGAGTATATGGAAAGTTCAATGTTTTCAGTAAGAGCTTACAGACTGCAGATTGATCCGTGCTATGATTAACTGAAGTGCTGTCAAGTGCATTTCAAGTTCACTCCACTGATGTTTTGTTATATAAAAATAATATGTTTTCTATTACAATGTGATGCTGCTTATAGTTCAATTTAAAAAGTACAGGCTGACTAGTTTGGACAGCACAGAAGAGTTTACATTAACTTCAAGTAATTGGAGAGATGGAAGAAAGTTAAGTTATACCCACTGAAAATATCTGAGTGGCTCAGTTTATAATGTGTTTATAATCAAATGGCACATGTATTGTTTGAAAAATTAGACTTCTGGGAACTATTTAGGATTTTTATATTGCAGTTGCTTGAATTTGCAGTGCTAAATGTTGAATTCCTGTCCATCTCAATTTTAAAAGGATTTTTACGTGAAAGCTCTGATGAACACCGTCTTGTGTTTGTGCCTCTGCAGATGCCCTTGTAGACAAAGATAACGCCAAAGTGGGTCTGTTCATCGCAGCAGCCATGGGAACATTTGCTCTGATGGCTGCAGTGTACTGCATCTACAACAAGTTCTACACCAAACAGCAGTACATGCACACCCAGCTCAACAATGACCCAGGTAGCTTTGATTGTTTCTGAGGTAGAACCATGTTCAATTTGAGTGGGAAACAGAAATGATCAGAACCTGTGTGGCAGCATGTGAAACTATTCCTGAGAGACTGTCAACAGCAACACTTATAAGACACTTATAAATTATCATCAGCGGGAAAATTACTCTCTCATCTTTTCTGTCTGATTTGTTGATAGCAAAGCATTTCCTGTTTGCTGCTGTTTAGAGGCAAAGTGATGCTTTAGTGTGTGGAAATGCAAATCTGTAATTTATACGCCATAAACAAGACTGATTATGTTTGATTTTCTGTTGTTTTGGAGTCTTGTCCTTACATTATCTTAAGGCTAAAATCTAAAAAAGCTTCTCTATTTAAAGAAAACTTTTAAAAGTGCATCTTATTTTCTGTCTGCAGACACAGACTCCCTGGACCCTCCGCCCGTGTTCTTTCACGCCTCCGTCAGCTCCAGTGTAATGGACCTGCAGAAAGCCGGTTACGGCTCCCTCTCGGACACTCCATCCATAATTTCTGTCCCACCCAGTTTGTCCCCTCCTCCGTCTGCCATGCCCCTGCCTGCCCTCTTCCTCTCCTCTCGCTCTCTTAGAACTATATCAGCAAAGGATCTGGAGAAGAGTTACATATGACATGCTTGTGTAGGTTACTGTTTTTGAATGATGGATAAGGGAGTAGTGACAGTTATTTGAATGTTTGTGTTGTTTTTTTGTACACATAGACTCATTTTTGATTTTACTCAACAGCAGTAAAATAAAGAGGAAACTAAGGCACAGCTTAGCGATATAATATACGGCGCCTTCACATCCAGTTCTGTTAATGTTAATCATGACTTCCTTTACCCTCACTGCCCATTATTCTCATTCACAGTCATATGCATGAACTGTAGTCATTTTTGCCGTGTTTTTGTTTATTACACATAATAAACTAGATATTTCCAGCATCTTATCAAAGCTGCACCACCCTCTAATTAGAAAATAAACTCTCCAAATTTAAAAAAAAAAATACGTCTTTTGAGTTTTGTGATAAACAATTACAGCTCCATTAATTACTTCATGAGCTGCAGTGCAAGTTTAACTAATGACTTAAGCAAAATAAACCTAACACGCCTGATTTAATCTGTGCACGTTAAAGGAATACAGACTCTCGGACTGGGAAAGGTGTTTTGCCTCTTTAAAACTATCTTGACTACTGTTTCAGAATTGATATTTTATGTATAATACTTTATATTTGATGATTTTGAAAATATAAAGTTAGGTATATCTTTAATATTTAGATAGTAAGAAGATTTTCTATAGTGTCTCTGCACACCACCACAGTGGTTCCTACATCAACCAACCATGATGTGATTGAATTGCAGACTTTCAGCTTTAATTCAGGGGTTTAACAAACATAAATAACATTACACTTAGGAAATTCAAGCCAAACAAAGTTCAACATTTTCAGAGGCTGAAGATTAATGACAGACTTTTAAGCAGTTTTCACTGGAACTGTCAAAGAGACGCTGGTTAATATGAAGGAAGCCATTGTTGGGTTGGGAAAAAAAGCCCAAATAAATCTATCAGAGAAGCAGCAACAACTTTATGAGTGGCCAAATCAACAATCAGGCACAGTTATAAAACAATGAACGCAATGGCGAGTTTCTCAAGGTAAAGAAATGCCACGAAACTGCTTCTCAGTCAGTTGTCAAGTTATATTTGAGCCTCTAAAAATGAGGGACTGTTTATAAAAAGGGCTCCTATTGTCCAAATCCTCATGAACCTAGCTGTATATGCAGCACTTCCAGTGTAAAGAGACTGGAAGATAAAATCAATACTGACACTTTTGTTGATGGACAAACGAAAATGTGATTTTAAAAAACCGACCCACATACATAAAATACTTCAATGCAGTTTTTCTTTTTCCACTTTTTCTATCTACAGTATACAGTTACATTAAGCCTGTTTTACGCTAGTTTAAACATTTCTATATGTAAAAAAAATGTCTCGAAAAGAAAGCAGCTCGCCAATACGCACCAAATAAGTGACTCCATTAACTTATAATGACATATAGCAGCCCTGCCTCTGTCCCTGCTGGTAAGGTGCAGATCATGAAGAGATCAAGACTCGCCTCCTCCATTTGTGATGTTCTATTGATTTTCAATCCTTCTAAAATTTATTTCTGGTCATAAACGCGAAAAAACCTGCAATCTAATCCACAACCACTGTCCCGAGGTGAGTCTGCGTACCTTCTTACAAATACCCAGAAACTCTATTAATATTCTTGGTGGGACGGTGTTTACACTAACTCCCCATTCAAGGCTTGTGCAGTCCAAGAATAGCCGCGGCTTGGATAGTCGGTGCTTAAAACGAGGAAGGAAGTGCCGTATACCTTCCTCTCACTACACACTTGGAGAGATTAGCGGCAGCAGTAATCTGTTTCAGGACCATGGCCAGAGACAACGTTTGGATATGAATCTTATCGAAAGTTGCCTACGACTCTCTGTGAACCTTTACGGACACCAAACAGTGTGACGAAGTTTGTTTGGACAGGGTATCCGGAAAAGTGGGGCTGAACATGCATATTCGACTGGTTTTATATAAAGGGACTTGAAGGAGGCTCAGTCAAATCTCTGGACAGTCTGTCGCTAATTACGAGTCTCGTTTCACATGAAAGCGTGAGTTACGAAAGCTGGTGACCCAACCAAATCGGTTCTTTTAATGTGAGTAAGAAGCAAGAAGCCGGGAAGCAGAGGAGAAAGGCTGTGCGCTCAGTCGGGAGCGCGCAGAGACTGCACATTGGGCCGGTCCTGGAGACGTGAGGATGGAGGTCCGGCCGGACAGGTTTAAGGCCGTGGCAGCCAAAACTCTTGGGAAAATATACGGGTATGTAAAATCTCCTCCTCGGGGAACAGAAACAGAGCAGAAACATCTGCTGGATGACCTTTAATGTTAAAAAGGATCTTTGTGTTTAGCGGTTAAGCTGCGGACCTGAGGGGAAGTTCATTCTTACTGATGCTGAAACATGGCCTGTTAGTCTATCAGTGTTTCTATTAAGAAGATTTAAAGAAATATAATGTCCAGAGGCCCGAATCAATAATATGGAAATATGTGTCTGCTTATAAATCTTTCATATAAGAAATGTGTACACAATAACTCGCTGTATGTGGCACTGGCGACTTAAAGTAGCTGATAAGAGATTAAAAAAGAAACCCAAATTAATTTTCAAACTCTCTTTTATAAGCAGTGTGTATCATTCTTTGTTCCCGAAGAACAAAAAAACAGAATGAAGTTACATTTCAGGCTCAAAATGTTCTCTCAGTGTAAGATGACACGCTGGATCGATATTTGGATCCATTTCTCCTAAGCTTGCCGTGCTCTTACATTGTCACATTACAGAGACACTGTGACACCGTGTGTGTGTGTGTGTGTGTGTGTGTGTGAGGGGAGGGGGTGTCCATCTGGAATTTTCTGAAAGACTAATAAAACTCTGTGTTTCACTTTCTACCATTTTTAGAGATTAGACAATGTTGATAATCTGCTCGAATTATTCTTCAAAGAGGAACTGTGTGTTTAGCGTAAAGCAGGCCTAAGAAGCCGGTCATCTCACATCTCATTGGTAGACAGTAACCTCTTTCAAAAAAACAGCTATTTTGTCATAAGAACTTGTTATATATCGGTTATAATAACAGAAAAACAGACATTTAAGAACTCGGTATCATTTTAATGACTTATTGGGACACTTTTATAGGTTTATAGCGACAGTGCAACCAATTCCGTTGACACTCGGTGGCAAAAAACAAAACAAAAGCCTTCATTGGGCACTCCTGAGAAATAGCGTGTAAGAACCTGGGCAGTTATCTGATAGCAAGAAACTCATAGGTGGACTCCCCTTTCTTTCTCTCGGGATTTGATGCAGCGTCTAAACACTTAAATCCCCTCCAGAAATAGCATCTCCCCGTCCAAGCTGTCGGCCCACGTAAATCCCTGCAGGGCGTACACCTTGGCCACGTCTCTCTTCCTCTCTAGTAGCCACATAGCTTGTCATCTTGTCCCTCGCCCGCGCACCCCCCCTTCATAGCCGGGATTAGGACACCCGGCCTGCGGCAGAGAGCGCAGGTCATCTCACTGGAGCGCACTGCTCTCACGTGCTGTATCTGGCTGCTTTGCGTAAAAGGCTCACCGGCCTGCTTGACCGCTCCGACTCTCCGCACGCGAAATCCGCACCTTACATTCGAAAATGACTCTTTATTTACTTGTTGTAAATGACTAAACCTTTAGCCTGTTTTATTATACAACTTTCCGCCTGATGTTTACTTCTCAAGCGTCATCTTCTTCTTTTCAAAATTGATTAGCGCAAATTAGCAGTCACGCGATCGTCTGTGATTTCAGTCAGTGATCACAGTAGACAGCTGGTGCTTGTCTTTATTTTCAGGTTAAGCAGGAATTTGACTCAAAGACACTCTGAATCTCTTATTTATCTCAGGTTTTATCCTCAAAACATTTACCTGGAAAACTCGTTCCTCGAGAGTATTTTATGATTAACTCTCTAATACTTTTTTCCTTCGTCCGTTATAACTGCCACATGAGCGGATAGAGGATATTTTAACATTTTATATTAGGAGACTTAGTTCACTAAGTTTGTATTAATGCCATGGAGCATTTTCAGACCATCAACTTTCTCTTATCTAATCAATTCTTCCAAGGTGTCCGAGCTGGGGGTCTGCCCTACATTTGTCCTTGATGTATGAATTAAGAGATTAACCCGCTGACGGAACTGCATTGATTTAGGAAATATAGAATTCAGCTCTGCTATACTCCAATATTCAGAACTTTTACTTTTTTGAGATTGAGTTCAATTGTTCCACAGGAATGATTCAATCTGGGCTTTTCTACAAGGTGTAACGGGAGAAAGGGAGAGAAGGCCAGGCAGCTTTTAGGGATTATGACGGATTTTCCTTAACCTGGGGTCAGTCATGAAAAGTCACTGCAACTGATACAGTATAAAATTAAAAATATAGTGGCTCTTTATAATAAAGTCCTTGACCTATAGTATAATTTGTCAAAATGCTTTCACCACAATTTGTCTAGGGTGTAATATTCAGTATCGAAAATACTAACTGATTCCACATGAGTCTTTAATGCAATGCAAACACGTTTTCATTCTTTAGACACTGTTGTTAGCAGTTTTGGCTGTATGGCGTAATCTCCCCTTTTCAGATTGTCCACATTTTGTTGCATTATACTTCATTTATTGTGTTATCTGGTGGACATACCTTCTAAAGAAATGACTTGGAGTGCCCCCTTAATCAGATGGGACAACAGATGTTTATGATATTCTATAATACGGCTTATGCCCTTAACAATAATGTGCAATCGCAATGTAAGAAGAAGAAACATCATTGGCTGTTTCTTCTAAAATACCCAAAATATGTTAATTGCATAGAAATGCTCAGTGTTAATAATACCTTTCCTTTTAAAATGTCAGTTGTGTTTTGAGATGCTTAAAAATGACAAAATTTACATGGTAAATGTTGAGAAATTACATTATAAGTAGAGAGAGCTTTACTGTAAAGTGAGAACGAAAGCACTACAAATGTACAGCCAGTGGAAAAAAAACTACATATATGGACACAAGGGAAATAAACTGGTGTAAAATAAGGAAGGACTGCTGCTGTGAATTATGTGTGAGAATATGTGTGAGTCAGAGGAGATGCCGGTAAGGAGCAGAGTTAAAGATGAAAAGGAGACAGGAAGAAAGACGAGAGAGGCCAGCCCAGACAGAAATAGTCCAAGAGAGCCAGAGATATTAATAATTTAACAACGAAAATCATTAATATTTGATCGGTGTTGAAGATTGTTGGAACCCCTGCTTACAGTTACCAACAGAGCATGTTTTATAACGGCATAGCTGTTTTCAATCGTGTTGGTATTTTGTATGAATGTTCTGGACAGATTTGTTGGCAGGAACACAAATGGCCTCACAGCAGTTCTCTGGTAATAACCATGTCATTTTAAAGTCTGCAGGAAATATATTACATAGCGTGATATAAACAACTGCCTTAACTCCAGGGCCTACACAACAGATGTACTTATAAAAGCTTTTGCCACTAGATGAACAAGCTCTAAATGTTGTTGAATATCGCAAGTATGACACACAGATTTACTCACAACAAAAAAAGAGATCTGGGAAGTGTTTTGACCTGAGGTGTTTTGTCATATGTCCTAGTCACTTCTGCAATTTCCTTTGTTTGTCAACCTTCAGTGACCTTAGATAAAAATACACTTAAATCTAGGAAAAAAATATTACAGCATCAGAATCATAAGAATCACTTAAATGTGCCATCAGGACTGGGTTTTTTTGTACAAAATTCAGCGTGTGAAAGGTTATTTTGTGTGCATATTTTGATTTGGATAATTTTATCAGCTTTGTTTGTGTTTGGTCTTGAATGTCTCACGCCATCCTCCAGTCTCCTTAATAATTACAATGATCACAATGTCTGTTTGGTTAGGAAGAGTATGGTGATGCATCAGAGGTTCACTGTGATCACATTTACCACAGCGATGTATACAACAGTGGAAGAGGTTTTCAAATTGCATGGCTGATCCTGGTCAATAGAAGCTGCTCACATGTATATATAAAACCTAAAGGGCAGTGATGTAGTAACTCATCCAGCTCAATGTTTCACAATTTATAAGATACTGCCTGTAAAATGGCAAATGTGACCTTGACCATGATTAGGTGATCAATGTTTTAAGTTTCACTAAAATCTATTCTTACATTTTCAATTCAATTTTATTTATATAGCACCAAATCACAACAACAGTCGCCTCAAGGCGCTTTATATTGTAAGGTAGATCCTACAATAAAACATTCAGAGAAAAAAACCCAACAATCATATGACCCCCTATGAGCAAGCACTTTGGCGACAATGGGAAGGAAAAACTCCATTTTAACAGGAAGGG